CCACTTGAAACTCCCACTAGCACCTTATTTTTCATTTTGAATCATGGTGTTTTGGTATGCTTTGGCCGCGCTTTGCTTTGTGCAATTGAAAGTTGGTAATAAGCTTTGAAATCTTTTCTTGCTTGCTTAACAAGGCTAACATTGGAAAAGACTTAGAGAAATAGAACCAAAAGAAAATGAAATGCAGTGACTTCGAGAGTTAGGAATAAAGAAGAAAATTCGAAACGTGATGACTGCTTGAGGAAGAAAAGGAAAAGAGACTTATCTGAGTGAAGCACTCGACTCCAATGATCATGACATGCATTTCAGATTAATCAGCCCAGACTGTTCACCTAATCATATTTCATTTTGTGCCCCATCTTTATACTTTGAAACTGAGATTTTCTATAATCCAACCTCTCTACAAAATCACAAGCCTCATTCGGCTTGCAGTGCCCTGACAGGTATTCACCAACAAACCTCTCTCATTTGTTCATCTCTTGACTCACTGTCGCCCTTATGATGCCCGCGAAGGTTTTCACCAATAAGACTCTCTCATTTTAGTTTTCTCTCAGCTTTCCATCGCCTTACGGTGCCCGTGAGGATTTTCACCAATAAGACTCTCTGATTTATTCATTTTTCCTTGTGTAGAACAGAGTGTTGCCCATGATGTGAATCATACCTCTATCTCGCTTGACTTGGTATTTCTTAATGATTGATCAGAAGGTCTTTCTTCGGTCCGTAATGTAGGTTTTTGGATAGGGTTAAAAAGAAAGGACATCATAAAGGTTCAAAACAGCTTAAAAGAGTTCAGAATTACAACTTTTGGAATCAGGTCTTTTACAAAACCACAACTTCCGCCCCAGTTTCTTTGCCTAGGAAATTTTTGATTTTTTTTTAATTTTGATGGGACCGAACCGTGAAGCTGTCTACGTATCCTTAAAAGGAATCAGGTCGAACGTAGTTCAAGACATATGAAATGCTTTGTTTTTGTTACTTTTCTCTTTTTTTCTTTTTCTTTTCTTTTATTTTCCTTGGCTTTACTTTTCTTCATTTATTCTCTTTTTCCTCTTTTTTTTTATTATGTATGTATTTCTAAACTCTACTTCTGATTCTAAAAGAGGGGTATGAAAGCAAATAAATAAGGCTCAAAAAGGGTAACAAAGGATAAAGTGTTTAGATAGCAGAATAATATGTCTTCATCATTCCAATCTTCAAAACATGCCAAGTACAAACAACACAATTAGACAAACCAAAGAAATCATACATAATATCTTTTGACTGCATCAGAATTGATAGCCATATCTACACTTTTGCCTTCTAAATCTATTAAATACAAAGCACCATTGGACAACACTCTTGTTACAATGAACGACCCCTGCCAATTTAGGGAAAACTTGCCTTTAGCTTCAGCCTGATGTGGAAGGATGCGTTTCAATACTTGTTGACCCACTTCAAATTTCCGGGGACGCACCTTCTTGTTGTATGCTCTTGCCATCCTCTTCTGATACAATTGACCATGACACACTGCCGCCAGTCTTTTCTTATTAATCAGACTTAATTGCTCTAATCGGGTTTTGACTCACTCATCATCAATTTCTGCTTCAACAACAATTTGAAGGGATGGAATTTCGACTTCCACAGGTATAACTGCTTTAGTCCCATATAACAACAAATAAGGAGTTGCACCTACTGAAGTGCGAACAATAGTGCGGTAACCTAGCAAAGCAAAAGGCAACTTTTCATGCCATTGCCTAGAACCTTGCACCATCTTTCGAAGTATCTTCTTTAGTTTCTTGTTAGCCGCCTCAACAGCTCCATTTTCCTTGGGGAAATACAGAGTGGAGTTTTGATGCGTAATCTTGAACTGTTGACATACTTCTTCCATCAAATGGCTATTAAGATTAGCACCATTTTCCGTGATGATTACCTTGGGAATTCCGAACTGACAAATGAGGTTTGAGTGAACAAAATCAACCACTGCCTTCTTGGTCACAAATTTGAAAGTCAAAGCTTCAACCCACTTAGTAAAATAATCGATGGCCACCAGAATGAACCTGTGCCCATTTGATGCTGCTGGCTCAATTGATCCAATGACATCTATGCCCCAAGCAACAAAGGGTAAGGTGCGGACATTGTATGAAACTCAAATGGCGGAGAATGAATCAAATCATTGTGTACCTAGCATTGATGACACTTGCGCACAAAGCTAATGCAATGTCGTTCCATGGTGAGCCAATAATACGCTGCTCAAAGAATTTTCTTTGTCAAAACATACCCACTCATATGCGGACTACAAACTCTGGCATGCACTTCGGTCATGACAATCGTAGCCTGTTTAGCATCTATGCACCTCAACAGTCCAAGATCTGGAGTTCTCTTGTACAAAATTCCCCCGCTAAAGAAAAATCCACTAGCCAAACGTTGAATTGTTCTCTTTTGATCACCTGTGGCTTGTACCAAATACACCTCCATCCTGATGTGTTCCTGGATATCATGGAACTGCAGTTCACCATCAAGTTCCTCCTCAACCGCATTACAGTAAGCATGCTGATCACAGACTTAAATATGAAGAGGGCAACATAAGCCTTATTCGGATGGTGTAACATTGACGCCAAGGTAGCCAGGGCATCGACAACCTCATTATGGATCCTAGGAATGTGCCTGAAATCTAATGATCTGAAGCGTTAACAAAGATCATGCAAACATTGTCGATACGGTATGAGCTTTAAATCCTGAGTCTCCCATTCTCCCCGAATCTGGTGCACCAACAGATCCTAATCTCCCAAGATCAAGACTTCCTGGACTCCCATATCTACTGCTAACTTCAAACCCAGAATGCATTCCTCGTACTCAACCATGTTGTTGGTACAATAAAAACGCAACTGGGTTGTAACAGGGTAGTGATGCCCTGTTTCAGAAATGAGCACAACCCCTATTCCGACACCTTTCATGTTGGCAGCTCCATCAAAGAAAAGTTTCCAACCTGGCTTTTCATCCTGCTCCACCTTATCAATATGCATCACCTCCTCATCCAGAAAATAAGTCCTCAATGGCTCATACTCTTCATCTACCGAGTTCTCGACCAAATGATCGGCCAATGCTTGGGCTTTCATCGCAGTTCGAGTCACATAGATGATGTCAAACTCTGTGAGCAAAATCTTCCACTTTGCAAGTCTTCCTATGGGCATAGGCTTCTGAAAGATACACTTTAGAGGATCCAGATGAGAAATTAGGTAAGTAGTGTAGGACGACAGATAATGCTTCAACTTTTGTGCCACCCAAGTCAGGGAGCAGCATGTCCTTTCAAGGGGAGTATACTTAACCTCATATGATGTAAACTTCTTGCTGAGATAATAGATGGCTTGTCATATTGACCCAACACACAATCGAATGAATTGTCCAGGACTGTTAAATAGAGAATCAAAGGTCTTCCAGGTTCCGGCGGGACCAAGACAGGTGGGTTTGATAAGTACCCCTTGATCTTATCAAATGCCTCTTGACACTCATCAGTCCATTCGACCGCAACATCCTTTTTCAGCAACTTAAAGATGGGCTCACAAGTTGTCGTGAGTTGAGCAATAAACCTGCTGATGTAGTTTAAATGCCCAAGAAAACTCATCACCTCAATCTTATTCCTGGGCGGTGGCAGTTCTTCGATAGCTTTGATCTTCGACGGATCCAACTCAATGCCTCGCCGACTGACTATGAACCCCAACAGTTTCCCAGATGGAACACCAAATGCACATTTTGCAGGGTTGAGCTTAAGATTGTACCTACAAAGCCTCTAGAAGAACTTTCTCAAGTCCCCGACATGGTCGGACTGTTGTTTTGACTTTATGATCACATCATCTACATAAATCTCAATCTCTTTGTGTATCATGTCATGAAATACAGTAGTCATTTCCCTCATGTAGGTTGTGCCAACATTTTTCAGACCAAATAGCATTACTCGGTAGCAATATGTCCCCCATGGCGTGATGAACACTATCTTTTCTGCATCTTCCTCATCCATCAAGATCTGGTGATATCCCGCATAACAATCCACAAAAGACCCGATCTCATGCTTAGCACGGTTATCAATCAAAATATGGATATTTGGCAATGGGGAGTTATCCTTTGGACTTGCTTTGTTGAGATCGCGGTAATCAACGCACACCCTGGTCTTACCATCCTTCTTTGGTACTGGCACAACATTAGCTAACTAGGTGGGGTATCGCGTGAATCGAATAACCTTTGCATCCAACTGTTTTGTAATTTCTTCCTTGATCTTCACACTCATGTCAGTCTTAAACTTCCTTAACATCTGCTTGACGGGAGGGAATGCCGGATCGGTTGTCAATTTATGAACTACCAAGTCAGTACTCAAACCCAGTATGTCATCATATGACCACGCAAAAATGTCTTTATATTCAAATAGTGCTTTGATTATTTTTTCCTTGATTTGTGGTTCTAAGGGTACACTTATCTTGGTTTCCATGATATTATCTGGATCCACTAAATTGATTGTTTCAGTTTCATTCAAATTAGGTTTGGGTTTCTCTTCAAAATGATTTAGTTCTTTACTAATTTCCTCAAATGCCTCATTTTCATCATATTCTGTTTCATCATTGCACTCTATTTCATGGATTATTATTTCAGAGTTAGATTGGCTTTTAAGACTTGGTCGAAGATTCCTCATACATGTCATGTCATTGAAACCAGCATAAAAGGAATTGTACAAAGAAAAACAAAAATGACACTATCAGGAGTAATGGAAAAGGAGAAATTGCATTTCATTGAAAATAAAGGATAGGAGGGTTTGTACATCAAAACAATTGAAAAGTAAAAAAATCTAGATTACAACCCTGGAATAATCCAGATAACAGAAAGGAAAACAAAGCAAACTACCAAGACTCCTTCCGAGTAGGGAGATGAGTAGTATTCCAATTGTTAAGCTTCACTTTTGGCTCAATAAACTGCACGTCTGCTTTGCTGGAACCTTCCCCAATTTCTACCATGTTCACCTCATCAAATAGACTCTAGAACATTTCAATCAACTCTTCATCGAAGTCAACCACAGGCTTTGGAACTGTGGACACCGGACGCTTCACTACCCCTGACTTGACGAAAGACCTGGAGAGGCATGGGATAGGCTTAGGGAGCACCCATGCCTTCTTTTTCAACTTTTTAGCCTTCTTCACATCATCCCATGTGGGCTTGAACCCTAGACCAAACGTACCCAGATTTTCACGTAGAGACACTGGTTGTACGATACCTTGCAAAGATGCGCCCAGACCCTTACAAAAACCATTCTTCAACATTTTATTTTCTACCATGACGGTTGCAGAAGCTAGCTTTGGACCTGGAATACATTCCTCTTCCGGAACCTTCTCAACTGACACCGTTTTAAAAAATTGGTACACCCAAGGCCCCTTATTATCTTCAACCTCAATAAACGGGACGGATGTATCATTGTAAGCATACAAGTTCTCATCACCATGCACAATGATTTCCTATCTGTCCCACTCGAACTTTACCATCTGGTGCAAAGAAGACGGGACTGCTTTGGCAACATGTATCCAGGGCCTACCCAATAGCAAATTGTAAGAGACAACCATATCCAATACTTGGAACTCCATGGTAAATTCAACTGGTCCTATTGTTAGTTCGATCACGATATCTCCAACAGAGTCTTTTCCCCCTTCGTCAAAACCTCTGACACATATACTGTTCTTGTGGATCCTCTCAGCATCAATTTTCAACTTATGCAGACTGGAGAGAGGGAAAATATTTGCGCTGGAACCATTGTCAACTAACACCCTTGTAACCATAGAATCTTCGTATTTCACTATGAGATAAAGAGCCCGATTATGTTCCGCACCCTCAAGAGGCAACTCATCATCCGAGAAGGTGATCTTGTTTGAATCTAATATTTTATTGGCAATCTTCTCCAAATGGTTTATTATGATCTTGTCAGGGACATGAGCTTCATTTAGAATCTTCATGAGGGCCCGGCGGTGCTCGTCTAAATGTATCAACAATAATAGAAGATAAATTTGAGCAGGGGTCTTTCTCAATTGTTCCACTATGGAGTAATCCTGCACCTTCATTTTTCTCAAAAATTCTTCCGCCTCCTCTTTGGTGACTGGTTTCTTCACTAGAATTGGGCTATCTTTGAGTGGCTTGGCTTTCCCTAATTCCTCTAGGGCAAAGCATCTCCCCGAACGAGTCAACCCCCGGGTTTCATTAACTTCCTCTTCTACTTCTTTCCCTTTATAGGTTACTATTACTTGTTTGTAGTTCCACAGGACAACTTTGGTGTCATCTACCGGCAGCTGGGTCACAAGTTTAATGACAATAGGAGTCGTTCGAGCTCCTTCCACAATTATGACATGCTTACTTGCTATCCCCGACATGACCACCTTCAGCTTTCCTTGATTTGCTTCAGCGTTATCTGGGGATCCCTTCACGTCCACCACGGATGGCTTAACATCGAGCTTGCTTAGCTTATCTGTCAACCCCTCAACTGTCGAAGATGTTGCACTTGTAACAATTGGAGTTTTGACTGAATTACTTTCACTGGCACGGATTATCATGATAGACTTTGAAGGCTTCTCGGGCTTCCCATCCTTATACACTATATCAATCATATGTGTTTCGGCATGGGCTGGCAAGGGATTTTGATTGATGTTGGGCACTCCCAGGATTTGGACCTCAATCTGGTTTGTATCGATAAGCTCTTGGATGTCGCTCCTCAAATGCCAACACTTTTCTATGTCATGTCCCGGAGCATCAGAACAATATGCATATCTGAGGGAATAATCCAGGTTCTTCGGAGGGGGATTTGATAATTTTGACTCAAACGTCCTTAGAACACCCAAAAGCTTTAACCTCTGAAACAGACTGGTGTAAGACTCTCCAAGCGGGGTGAAAGTTCGCTTCTACTACTGCCTTTCTTTTCTATACTTCATCCTGGGGAGAAAGCTCGGACCAGTAGGGTTTTAGTATGCTTGTGGAGGCAGATAAGTATTTTATGGAGCTGGTCCATGCCATTGTGGGTAGGGGGTTGAGCATATGACTGTGTGTGATGGACATGGTATTAGGGAGGCCTGACTGAATACTGAGGGTCTGGTGGTGGGAAGTAGTGTTGGGGTGGATTATATGAATTTTGGGTATAGGTTTGAGGCTGGGGTCGAGGCTAGGTGTAATGGTGCGGCGGACCCCTTGGTCCATGCCACGATCCTGAGACTACCATAGCAACATCGTCTTTCTTCTTTTTCCCTAACATATCCCCGGTACCATTCTGGATCGCTTGTGTGGTTGCTTTGATGGCAGAGTAACTCATGATCTTGCTCGACTTGTACCCTTCCTCTACTATTCCTCCCATCTTCACCACTTCATTGAAAGACTTACCTACGACCGAGACCGGATGACCAAAGTAATTAGGCTCCAAGGTCTGAAGAAAGCAATCCACCATTTCATCTTCCTTCATTGGAGGGTTGACTAGTGCCGCCTATTCTCTCCACCGGAAACCATACTCCCTAAAGCTCTCACTGGGCTTTTTCTCCATCTTAGTCAAAGATAGGTGATCTGGTACACTTTCTACGTCGAACTGGAAATGCCAAGCGAAAGCCTGAGTCAAGTCATCCGAAGTCTACCACCTGCTGTTGTCCTGGCAGGTGTACCACTCCAATGCTGCACCACTCAAACTTTGGCTAAAATATGCCATCAACAGTTCATCTTTCCTACCGGCTCCCCTCATTTTGCTGCAAAATCCTCTCAAGAGGGCCATGGGATCTCCGTGCCCGTCATACAAGTCAAACTTGGGCATTTGGAATCTGACAGGTAGCTGGACATCAGGAAACAAGCATATATCCTTATAAGCCACGCTCACTTGGCCCCTTAACCCTTGCATATTTCTCAGTGACTGCTCCAAGCTCTTTAGCTTCCTAAATATCTCCTCTTGCTCCGTGTTTTTGGGTGGATTCTTAGTTTCGACAGGAAGTTTGAAGTGGGGAGTGTAGAAGTAGTGATCTGGGACTTTGAAGGTGGGCTGTGGGGCATAGTATTGGTTATATTGGGCTTGGAATACCGGCTCACTAGAAGATCGATGGAGCATAGATGGTGGAGGTGCTACGAAGACAGGGGTGGCTGGCGGAGGGGGGTATGTGGTTGTTTTGGCTGGTGGAGCTTGGATGGTTTGGGAAGTGGTGGTAAGGAGTGAAGCTTGGTGCGTGTTGTGGGGATAAATCAACAACAAGGGGGGGGGGCTCTTGAGATTGAGCCAGTGGTGGGATGAAAGCAGGGTTGGCGGGCTATTATGGTGGAGGATGCCCTTTCATCCATGCCTGGTATATTTCGGACATTTGGCGCTTTAGCTTATGTAACTCCTCTTTCAGACCGGGCTCAGATTCCTCCTTCTCTCTCGGCGGGTCAATAACACTCGCATCCAATTCTTTGCCAGCCATGATCACGTTGTGTTTAAACCTTGTATTGTATGGGTGGGTTGCCAGAATGCCGAACAAACTAACCACCTTCCTATGCTCATTGACAACAACACACTTGTTAGTGTTTAAGATTTTAACAGATAGGCAACCACACGTTTGGGATGCAATGCACCTAAACAGTTAAAAGTTTCTATTATGTATTTGAACGGTTGCATATTTCATCCCGACCTTAACCAACTCTTTTCACTTTGCACTTTCTCTTCTCTTTTTTTTTTCACTATTTCCCTTTTCAATCACTATTGATTTTCCCACTCGGTTCTTGTTGCTCCTTTTTTTCTCTTGCTTTTGCTCTCTTGTTTTGCCATTCTTTCTTTCCACTCAGTCTCTTTTCTTTTTTTTTCTTTTTTTTTTCTCATTTTCATTTTATGGTTATGATCGAATCCTATGGGGATTGCCTAAGTATCATGATGCCGTATGAATCAGATCATTACGTAGTTCAGGAGATAAATACAAAATAAAAGAAAGAAATATTTTTGGGTTTTCAAATTTTCATAAAATAAAAACATTATGTTTTTGTTGATACCCAATTTTTTCCCTTTATATTTTCATTATGCAAAATACTTTCAAAATAGTATGTATATATATATATA